GATCTATTTCAGCTTCTAGGGTAAAGACCTTAGGCTTAGTTCGCAGACTTCTTGATGATTATAATCATGCATGGATCGCCTGTTTGATTAACTTTATTGCTAAGAAAAACTCAAAGCAGCACGTTCCCTACATTGGAATATTTGAATTCCCTGGTGTATAAACTTTTTCCATTTTAGATATTGCGATGCTTTTGGTTTTTGCATATTAGTTCTTATGGAATCACATTTCGTGAATTTATCATTTGAAATTAAAGTTAAGGAGGAAGTACCGTTTACGGTAGTATTTCTTGAATTAAGAACAGAATTGATTTGTTAGCTTATCCATACACTTGAGTTCTTTTTAAATATTAAACATAAAGTCTAGTATATAATACATTTTGTGTGTGTGATTTATCATGGTAATTATCATTAGTTGTAAACGTTGTTGTGATAATACTCTCTAAAAAAATCGAGTGATCACGGACGTCACTCCTCTGGAGAGTGAAAATGTAGTGAAAATAGAGTGAACATTCACTCTTTTCTTCTTAGAGAGCACTCTAAAATCAATCGATTTTCACTCCTAAACAAGTGATCACAGACGTCACTCCCAAGAAAGTGAAAATAGAGTGAAAATTCACTCTTTTTTTTAAAAAGAGTAATGAAAAATTAGCGGCAGCAGTAGGGTAGTAGTATTAGTATTAGTATAGTGAAAGTAGGGGTGGTAGTTGTGAGTAGAAGAAGTAGTAATAGAAGTATTAGTGGTTGTAGTACATGTAGTAGTGGTAGTAGTAGTAATAGTAGTAGTAGTAGTAGTAGTAGTAGTAGTAGTAGTAGTAGTAGTAGTAGTAGTGGTAGTAGTAGTAGTAGTAGTAGTGGTAGTAGTAGTAATAGTAGTAGTAGTAGTAGTAGTAGTAGTAGTAGTAGTAGTAGTGGTAGTAGTAGTAGTAGTAGTAGGGGTGGTGGTGATAGTGGGGTGGTGGTGGTGGTAGTAGTAGTAGTAGTAGTAGTAGTAGTAGTAGTAGTAGTAGTAGTAGTAGTGGTAGTAGTAGTAATAGTAGTAGTAGTAGTAGTAGTAGTAGTAGTAGTAGTAGTGGTAGTAGTAGTAGTAGTAGTAGTAGTAGTGGTAGTAGTAGTAGTAGTAGTAGGGGTGGTGGTGATAGTGGGGTGGTGGTGGTGGTAGTAGTAGTAGTAGTAGTAGTAGTAGTAGTAGTAGTAGAGTTAGTAGTAGTTGGTGTAGTAATAATAGTAGAAGTTGTGGTAGTGGGATGGTAGTTGTGATATTAGAATGTAGGACTGCTCCTATTCAATAAAGCATAGTGGTTTGAGAACAGAGTTTATCTTCATCTTATTCCACAGGGAGTTATATAAGGTTAGGGTCTGTTTAATGAAGACTAGTTGTGACTGATAGGTGAGAGGGATGGATTGAGACACCTATAGACGGTCCCGAGTGAAATAAGCCACCAATTGGAAGGGTTTAATCTGTGAAAGACTGGTGTTTGGTCATCAATCTCCTCAGCTCGAGAAATAGAATCGTCTTGGCAAATAAACGCCGGTAGACGAGCGAGATAAGTGTCCTACACGGTGGAGGTAACTGACACCGGTCTGTTTGGACATGCTGAGAATAATAGTGGCTCCTTTCTACCTATGATGGTGAAGTTAGCAGGCTATTTTATGGCTATTTAGGGTAAACGTTCTGTTAGCACGGTTCATGCGACCTATTCTATTTGATAGCATACCACTACCCCACCACCAATGTCAATGTATTCAAAAAGGTTTTACACCAACACTAGCAGTGCAGAGTACACTCATTTGCGATTATGGTAGGACCACATCGTTATTCCCGTATATAGCGCCATTTTACTTGTTGAACATGGGGCGTTACTCACTGACGCAAAGCTGCGTCAATGACTATTATTGTCTCTGACGCTTCCCGTATGATTGAAATTGCACACAAAGGTCATGCAAAACGGAAATTACATACAATTGTTAAACGGGTATGCGCCTGCATGATGAGCGTATATGAAAAAAACGCAATATAAATAACACATAAATGACATCAGGCGACGATCCAGGATTTCTTAGGGGGGTGTGAGGCCCAAATTTGAAATCAATTTGAAATTTAGTATGCTGAAATTTGAAAACCGTGCCAGCCAATGTTTCGCTGAGTGGGTGGGGGGGGGGGGGGGGTTCGTCATTTTTACTTGGTATTTATGTTATGTTTTGCGACGGGTGAACCATGGACGAATATCATACATTGTTATTGCTCCCGATGACTTTGCAAGTGGTATATTTGATATGTTAACACAAAGCTACAATTATCTTCGTCATCGAATATACCAAACACTATAATACAGCATCCGCCCTATTTAAACTAAAGTCAAATACATCGGCATCATCGACCGGCATAAATATGACCATTGGCAATTAAGTTATTGACAGTGCAAACGTATGTCTCAAACTCTCAATATGTCCGGCATGTACTTGAAAAATTAAGTGCATTGTAAATATTGACTAGTATAATTCGAGTTATGAAGTGATTGACATTTCGATAGTTTAAATATTATAACATGTAAAAATGCCGATATTGTTTTAGACTTTGAAAGAGATCCACAAGACGCTAATCAAAATACAAGATATTTGGCGCATAATTCCACCTACAATAACCTCAATGCATAATGTTTGATAAGTAAACACGGTATGAATTATACAATATATTGCTCTATTTCTTTTCAAAATGGATACTTATGCATTACAATAAACAAAACTTTCAAACACTTTCAAAATTAATATCAAACATCCATAATGTTGAAAACATGACCAAAACTTGTTAGCTCTTTGAAGTATATGCCTTGAGAGCCGGCCCATATGTCTTTTCCTTCTGTTCGATAATTTCAAGGTCGGGGTCCTTGAAGCCTAGTCCACATTTCTTGTTTATTGGTCATTTAATTTATTTCTCATTTATATTTCGGTCACATAACTAGGATAGCTATCGACAAATTCGTCTAATTAAATTATTAGATCGATAATTATGTCTGAAGTAGGCCTATGTCTTTACTGTGCAAAGACTATTCCTAATTGACTTGACTCTTAGTTTCCCACGGTTTTCTTGAGAAAGAAAGACCGACTATACCGCTGGCACCTGTACTCAAAAACAACCAAATCAATAAATATCCCTGTATTATTCTAATGAATTCCGCTCTTCAAGTCTACCATACATCGCTGGGTAGAACGTCATAGGAAATGTACTGCTACGTTTGCCCATTCTAATGCTGATTAAATTAGTTGAAATTCGAGTTTCAGGAGAAAAGGTTCGGTTGAGAAGGAAATTTCGACCACATTTATTGTTTCAGGAAATTCTTTGGGAATTAGTTTGTTCTTCATGAGCTATAATACAATCTTATTGCAGATCTTCAATTGAATGACCGGTGAGCCATGGTATTTTGGTTTCTTTTGTTTATTTATTATTAATTTTTCCTTCTTTTTTCTCTTCTTTGTTTGTATGTTATGACATATGATTGAAAAAGGTACATATTCACCGGTATTTCAGATGGACTATATTTTGGTTGGTTCTGATTTTATTCCCCCCCCCCCCTACTCTCTCTACGTCTTCTCTTTCTCTCTCTCTCTCTCTCTCTCCCTCTCTCTTTCGTAACAGTGTTGACCTATTTGCATACATTTATTCCTGAAACAGGGAACGTTTGTCGCCACAATAGATGGCTCCTTTGTTGATGCCATACCGACATAGACATATTTGCCCATTCTATAATTCTTTTACGGTATAATTTGACTTAAGCATGTCCCTCCCTTCCCCATGGTTATCATTATTACCGGTTTTATTTAAAGTTTGTTTGAACATTAAATCTTTCACCATAATAGCTTTTCCACTTTTGTATCTTTGTATATATGTATATGTGTGTGTGTGTGCGTGTGCGTGCACGCTCAAGTGTGTGGATATGTTTTTGTGTGAGGAGGGGTGTCAATAAAGAGCTTGGAGCTCTGTCAGCTTTGAAATGTGCTCGCATTCTATTTCAATTTCGAACTTCATAAATGTTTGTTTATGTATCACGCTTTCATGAGACATGATTTAGTCGTTAAAATTATTAATCAGAGTCGAACTATGTGTACTACAGACCGAGCAGGTGGTCGAGCTAGTGGGTGATGACCTCATCGATGAAGGGTGTTGATTTAATCCGATCGGACAATGAGCGAATGTTGTTAGTCATTGTTTAGTTGCACCTGGCCGATGGGGAATGCTGTGAGCACGGTGTGAACTATGTTTTCAGATCACGGTTTAATGATTTCGTAAGGTCGTTCAACTGCTGTATGTCCAATGTTGTCATCTTTCTCTCCTTGTCATCCCTCTCTTTTAAATCACATTTCAAAACAATTTGATGATTTGAGAACATCAGATACACAGATGGGAGTTAGCTAATAACTAAATTCCACTTGATAACAAATAGTGAATTTTGAATGAAACAAGCAGAGCTGAATCCGTTGGGAATGTCGGAGTCTTATCGACAAAAACCTAGACAAGATCAATAGATGTGCACTCTTGATATCAACGGAAAATCAGTCTTTTATTTTTTTGTATAATAATTGTTATAAAGCATTTGGCCTCACCTGTGCTTGGGAGACGAAAAGCTAACTGAATCACCATCGGGTCTCTCCTCTTTGTATAACTAATAGGCTGGTTTACAAACATATTTAAATTGAATGCATAAGTTTTAAATACATGTTGTTCTGGACCGCATGAAAGCTTGCCCAATGCATGTCCGACATAGCAACAAGTAATGTATGTAGAATGGATTCCAAGTATTAAAGTTCATTCATTAATAACAGTTTAATGGAATAACTCGTCACTAGGACCACATGAAAACAAACTTCCATAAATTTGAATATGTTAGTAAACCGGTATATTAAGGATTGTGCTTGTGGACCACTACACCAGAGTTTCCCCTCACTATACTTTTTTTTAATAAGTTTTTTTAACCTTAATCTGACTTTTATTGTTTTTTTCTTCA